TCCGGCCGCTTCGGACCCCCCGCCCCGTCGCCTCAGGGGGTGGCCGGCAGCGCTGAGAGGAGAGTGGGTGAGTGGGGCAGGTGCCATCTTAAGTCAGGCCGGGGGGAGGGTCTGTGCCGAGATCTGCCCTCGGTATCATCACAGGTGGGCATCTCGCTGCTCACAGCCAACAGCCTCGAAGCCCAGCACGCGGGCTGCTGCTGCCCCCTAGAGTCCCAGCCCCCTGGAGCCAGAGTCTTGCCTCCTCCTTGCCAGTCTCCATTTACTGAGGCCCCCCCACAGCCCGTGCTGGGGGTCTGCACTGACTGCCAGGTGCACTGAGTCCCTCATTTGCCTCCTTCCTGCAGTGCAGCGCCCCCTAGTGGTACATTGCGATCAGCACAAGCCCCCCCACTGAGCCCCCATTCTCTGATGCACAGCACCCCCTAGGGGCACACTTGGGTCAATACCACCATCCCCACTGAGCCCCCATTCTCTGATGCACAGCACCCCCTAGGGGCACACTTGGGTCAATACCACCATCCCCACTGAGCCCCCATTCTCTGATGCACAGCACCCCCTAGGGGCACACTTGGGTCAATACCACCATCCCCACTGAGCCCCCATTCTCTGATGCACAGCACCCCCTAGGGGCACACTTGGGTCAATACCACCATCCCCACTGAGCCCCCATTCTCTGATGCACAGCACCCCCTAGGGGCACACTTGGGTCAATACCACCATCCCCACTGAGCCCCCATTCTCTGATGCACAGCACCCCCTAGGGGCACACTTGGGTCAATACCACCATCCCCACTGAGCCCCCATTCCCTGATGCACAGCGCCCCCTCGTGGCATACGTGGGTCAGTACCATCATCCCCACCAAGCCCCCATTCCCTGATGCACAGCGCCCCCTAGTGGCACACTTGGGTCAGTACCACCATCCCCACCGAGCCCCCATCCTTGATGCACAGCGCCCCCTAGTGGCACAGTCAGGTCATAAGAGCTGCCCTAGCAGCACAGTCGGATCAGCACAGCACCCCCTAGTGGCACACTTGGGTTAGCACAATGCCCCAATGAGCTCCCCCCGCAGTCCCCAGGCGGCTGGGGCAGGCAGTGGGTAGACTGGGAGCTCTCTCAGGGAAGTTGCTAGAATTGCTGCTCACTCCTCCTTTTGCTCGTTGATCCAGAGAGCAGCCGAGAGCCACCGAGGAGACTCCGGGACTCAGAAAGCCGGTAAGAGTCTTGCTTCCTCTGCCTGCCTCTGGGACCCTTTCAAGACATTCCCCTCAACCGTGCTCTCCCCATGCTGCCCCTCCCTCTTGCTTCCGGGACCCCCCTCCTCAAGTCCCTCCTTCCACATGTGCTCCCCACTCCTCTGTCGCCCCTCTGCTGGGATCCCTCCCCATTGCCCTTGCCCTGGCTTGTGCTTCCCATGCCACTGGTACCCCCAGCTTCTGGGGCTCCTCGGGGATCTCTCCTCTGCCATCTGCATCATTGCTGGGATCCCTTCCCTCCCCCTGTGCAGTGCTCCGCACACCCCCTTTCTAGCAGTATGCACCCACTGGCACTGATTGGAGCCCCCCTCTCTCTGTGTCAGGTTGGACAGCACAGTGATCTCCAACCAGGACCCATCACATCCAGCCTCCCTTCCCCAGCCAGGGGGAGCGGCCTGTATCCCTGAGGGCACCTCCTCTCCCACCGAGCCAGCCCTAACGGACAGGACTAAGGACCCAAGGGTCCAGGTGGCCCCAGAGCCAAAACCCTCTCGTCGAGGAGATCTTGTGGACTGCCTCCCTCCAAGGCTAGCACAGTGATCTCCAACCAGGACCCATCACATCCAGCCTCCCTTCCCCAGCCAGGGGGAGCGGCCTGTATCCCTGAGGGCACCTCCTCTCCCACCGAGCCAGCCCTAACGGACAGGACTAAGGACCCAAGGGTCCAGGTGGCCCCAGAGCCAAAACCCTCTCGTCGAGGAGATCTTGTGGACTGCCTCCCTCCAAGGCTCGACCCCACCTCGTCTGGTATCCCAGCTCCTGACAGGCCCGTGGGTCCATCTATCCCTGCATCCTGCTGGGACCAATGGGCCCATGTCGCATGGTCTCCCAGTATAAGTTTGATCTTCCATTGGCTGCAACGATTCGTCTGAAATTCCACCTGGTCTGTCCCAGCCCCTGGCGGCTTTGGTCGGGAACGTTCTGGGGGGGCATCACGTGACGTTTTGGGGAGAAAAAAGGAGGCTCCAAGCGCCAATGTTTCTCCCCCCTCTCCCTGGCACCTGCACTCTTGTTAGCACTGGGAGTGGTTGGCAGGGAGAGAAGAGCCAGTGAGGGTCACTGTACACAGGGCGAAGAGCCGGAGATGGGAAGTGGGGTTTTTGACGAGACGGAATTGTTCTGTGAAAAGCGGCTGCTACTTGGGGGAAATGTCCGTTCCCCTCCCCACCTCAGAAAACCCCACATATTTCATTTCTGCAATGCCTCCATGGTGCCCTATGGGAGTTGTAGTTCAGTTTAGTCGTGTCCCCATTGCTAAGTATGGCTTGGCTCCCTGGCTGGACTATGACTCCCATAATGCATCTGCCTCTCCACACCAAAGATTGAGGGGAATCATGGGAGATGTAGTCCCACAAGGAAGTCCCACCTAGGGATGAACTTGGAGGCACGAGACACTTGAAATACAATTCCCATTATGCACCATGACCAGGGGCTCCCATGATGCAACTGCCTTACCCCCAGGAGACATCACAGGAGATGTCTACAGTGGAGCCCAGTCTATAGCAAAATCACCCTTCTGAATGGCAACTCCCATGGTGCATCTGCTTTTCTTCCCTGAGAAACTGGTGCAACGTGGGACATGTAGTCCCATCAGGGACCCTGGCCTAAAGGAGAGCTTGGGGCATCTGATCTACAAACATCGTAACAGCTTTTCCAAAGTAAGATATTTCCTATTTCAGTTTTTGCTGAATGTTTTCATGGGAAACTCCCCTCTCCCCAACCCCCCTGCCTCATTTGCCAACCAGTTCTGGGAAGTCATACCAAAGCACCAAGTTGTCCTAGGTACATTCCTATGGGGAGGGACATCTATGGGGAAGCGATCCCCCCTCCCTCCCTGCTGTCTGTCTTTTATCCCCAGCGTTCATTTCTTTCTCCATTTCCCTCTCCTCCAAGCTTCTTACTGCCCCAGCCCCAGCTCACTCCCAGGACCCTAGGCCCTGGCTGTTTCCTTCTAGGGCATTACAGCCAGCATCAATGGAAACGGGCGGGGCCTAAAATAGAAGGGGCGGAGTCAAGGGATGGGTTCTCAAGATATTGGCTATGACCCAGACAAGATGGCAGAAGAGCTACGGCTACTTCCCATGGTGCTGGGGAGTCCGGACTGAGAGGAATGGGATCCCAGTAAGGAACAAGTCCAGTTCCAATGGTTATATAGTGCCACGGGTGGAGGGTTACATTTCCCAGCTTGCTGGTTCTTGCCTCTGACTCGCAGGATGGTTTAACAGCAATAACGTGCTGGGCCTTTTAAAGGGAATGAAAAAAAATAAATCAATGAACAGACCATGGTGAGAGCTAGATGTTATAATTGACCTGATACACACACCCCTTGGCTTCCACGGGATGAATGAGCATGGTGGAAATCAAGCCTTTGCTTGCAGCATCATAATGGTTTGATTAAAGCAATTACAGGCAGGATCCCGAGAAAGAGATCTGGCAAAAGCCAGGAAGTCTTCAAAAGTGGTTTTGAACAGAGCCCTCGACACAGGATTTTAATTAGATGATGGAATCGATTGATTTCTTCAGCACTGCTCACCCCAGGCGGTGGGGTGGCTCTCTGGGCCAATGAGCACTTTTTAGGAGCCCTGGGATTTGGTGCATTTTTGAGGTTTCTCATTAATGATTATGGTCGTTTTCAGGTATCTGCTATTTTAATAGCTAGCTATATAATTGGAGGAAGCCATGAGTTACGAGCCTACGTGCCTTTAAAAAAAGAATTTCTGGTTGGAAATCGGCTCTTTTAAAAAAAATAAAACGTGTAATACAGTTTGTGTGTGACTCTGATGCTCCGTGCTGGAGGGCCTGAGGTATATGTGTGTGTGGCGGGGGGAGGGGGCCTTGTTCTGTGCTGTTGTGATGTATTGTATTGTGGTGTCTCCCCATCAGGCCAGATCAGGGGTCGGCAAGAATCTGCCAGGGGGCCAGATCCGGCCCACCAAGCCACCAGATCTGGCCCACGGCCGCCTCGCAGAAACCCTGAAGCAGAGAACAGCTCACACTTTAAAAAGCCAGCTGTTCTCCATTCCAGACAGCTGGGGAGGGAGGAGGGAGACGTCTCATGCTCGTCCTACCCTGCCAGCAAAATCTCTTAGCTCCCATTGGCCGATCTCTCAGTTTCCGGCCAATAGGAGTTGAGAATTTTTGCTGGGCGCAGGGGCAGCATAGGAAGCCTTCTCCCTCCCTCCTTGTTCCCCCTCCCCCTCATGCCCAGGGTGGGGCAGTGAGCAGCCTGCAGCAGACAGTCTGCTTCAGGTTTCTGCTGGTAAGCACCTCCCAGCCAGAGCCTGCCTCTGGCACCCCAGCCCTTCCCTTCCCACCGCACCTGCACTCATACCTCCCTCCCAGATCTGGCTTTCCAATCTCCTGCCCCAGATCACAATCCCCTCCTACCCTGGGTCACATCCCAAAATCCTGCATCCCAGTCCCCTGCCCGAGGTCAAAACTGCCTCCTTCACCCAAACTCCCTTCCAGACCCCATTCTCCCTCTTGCACCCCTCTCCCTTCCCCAGAGCTTCCTTCTGAACCCAACCTCCATCAAGATCCTAGAAGAGAGCGGCTCTCAACCACTTTCAGAAACCTTGGGAGTGGCCCCCCGTCAAAAATTATTGCCCACCCCTGCTCTGGGATGCGCTGTGCTGATTCCACCCCAGAGCCCGGAATTCCTCCATTAATATCCTGGAAGAGTGTGGCCCTCGACCACTTTCCAAAACCTTGGCATGTCCCTTCCCCCTGGTCAAAAATTGTCGCCCACCCTGAGCCAGATACACAAGCCACATGACAGCATGGTAGCCCCCTATCCCAAAGAGCTCACAACCCAAATCTACAGTGCAACAGCCAGCCCCAAGGAACTGGGACGGGGCGTGCAAGATGATAGTGAAATGATGAGGATCAGTCTGATCTAGGCAGCTGTCACGACATAGAAGGGGCCTGGCTGTCTGCATGTCTCTGCAGGGATTTGAAAGGAAGCACAGCAAGGGTAGGAGCCAGGGCTGGGGGTTCTGGACCCTGTCCAGGGTGGTGTGCCAGGTATCTGGGCTGCAGACAAAAAGAAACTTCCTTAGGGCCACACCATGCAATTATTTTAATTCACCTTCTTTATGGACCTTTGGGGTCATGTGTTTGTACAGCTCCTGACACAGGCAGAGCATGGGTTATGAATGGTGCACCAGGATGCAGCCACAATATGAATACATCAATGATTATAATGATGAGTGGGATAGGGATGTAACTGAGCAGTCGACTAGCTGACTACCCAATAATCAAAAGCTTATCGGGTAATTGACTGGAGTATCAACTACTCGCTCCCTCTATAAGAGGCAGCAAAGGGGGAGGGAGGGACAGAGGCCGATGCTGTGGTGCCACTTGTCCCACACCCCCACTACCTCTCAGTGGGGTATAGCGGAGGCTGCTGCGAAGTACTCTCTGCCCATGGCCTTTCCACACCAAACAACCCCTTTTTGCAGCGGCCCAGGCCTTCTGCCACAGCAGCCTCTGTTTGTGGTGGACAGGGCTGGCCACGGGCTGAATTTAGGGTTGCCAGATGGTTTCAGAAAAAATGCACAACAACAACAACAAAGAACACGCCAGGAAAAAGTTTGTTGAGCAAAAAAACCTTAAAAAACCCTACTGCAGCCCCTTTAAAAACCGCACGGGGAGGCTTTTTGGCCCCAACAGGCTGGTGGTGGCCACCCGCCATCTTGCCTCCTTGCGCCAGGCTGGACAGCTCCTTGGTGAGCACTAGGTTGCCAGGTTGCCTCTGTATTGAGCCAGACAGCCCGGGATTTTCGCCTCCTGGCCAGGAAAAAATCAAAGTACCGGACATTTTAGGTGTCCAGTATTTTCTGATTTTTTTTTACCAGATAGGAGGCGAAAATAACAGACTGTCCAGTTCAATACCGGACATCTGGCAACCCTCGCTGAGCTTCTGAATTTTAAATGTAGTAAGACCCGGCGGCTCTTACTGCTTTTGAAACACAGAGCTAGTAGCATGGGCGGCTCCCGGAGCTGGCTCCGGGATCTACCCCCACTGCTGTTCTAAACAGCGGTCCTTACCGACGAGTAGTGTAGTCGATACGAATTGTATCGACTACATGGATAACCGCAATTTAACATCCTTCGAGTGGGGAGGGGTGACTCTCGGACCCAAAGGGGCATTCAGAGTGGTGGGCCACACACGGGTGGGATTCAGCTCCCACGCCCAGGGCGAGGAGAGAATGAGAGCTGCAACAGCAGCCAACTGAGGCTGCTTCTCCCCCCCAAGGAAGCCCCACTTCCCCTTATGGGCTAAGTCAGTCCCTCCCTCCAATGCGGCCCCACCCCTGAGTGGGGTAAACCCTGTCTCAAATTAGCTCCTCCCCTAGTCTAGATTAAGCCCCGCCCTCCAATGTAGCCCCTCCCCTCCCTAGATAAGACCCGCCCCTTGTGTGTTTTAGCCCCTCCCTCTAATGGGGCCTCACTCCTGAGTGGCTTAAACCCTGCCCCAAATAAGCCCCTCCCCTTTTAGTAGTTAAGCCCCTCCCCTTTTAGTAGTTAAGCCCCTCCCCTTTTAGTAGTTAAGCCCCTCCCCTTTTAGTAGTTAAGCCCCTCCCCTTTTAGTAGTTCCTCCCCTGTGTGGAACCACGCCCCCTCCTAGCGGAGGCTCTGCGACACAGTCCCGGATGCGCATGCGTGGAAATCCGCCTGTCCCTCCCCGACTCCGCCTGGGAGGTGCTAGCGCGCAGGCGCAACGGCTTTCCTGTTTGAAATCAGCCGGCTTCTCCACACCTCCTTCCCACCCCACCCCGAGG